ATGTTTCTCCTTCATTCTCATTTTTTTTTTGTTATAAATTCATTCTTTCACATACCGTCTGCTTTCATTCATTTTTATCCCACTTTCTTTACTCGTCCCTTTTCTTTCTTTCTCTCTATTTTTCTCATTTCTTTTCCCTCCTCTTCCTCCCATTAACCTATCTTCCTTTCTTACTCCTTCCTTTCGTCCCTTCCGTGTTCTCTCTCATTCTTTTTAGTCTATCTTTATCGATTCATCATCATCTTCACTCTTCTTCCTCTATCAATCCAGTTTTATAATTTTCTTATAGTAAACCAGTGCCCCCGTCAGTTTCTCTGTCTTTCGGACGTTGCTTCTGTTTTGCCTCCACCAAAGTGAAAGGTTGACGCCAAGTCTTACTTTGCTTTCGTTATTTAGCCACGTCATCATTACTTATCTGTAACCACTCCAACTCATGACTTGGGCCGTTCTTCTCACTTAGGAAAAATATGTTCATATTCATTATATATATATATATATATGAAACACACATACACATATATATGTGTGTGTGTGTGTGTGTTCCATATATATATATATATAAATGTGTGTGTGTGTGTGTGTGTGAGAGAGAGTGTGTGCGCGCGCGTTCCATATATATATATATATATATATGTATGTATGTATAACAAAACTTTCATCTCTTTTGGATTGTTTCAGTGAAGAAGAGTCATATATATTACCAAGGTAAGGGAATATTGATTTCATTCCTGCTGAGAGGTACATTTTTTATACCACTTTCTAAGTCTCTCTCTCTCTCTATATATATATATATATATATACATATATATAATTTTTTTGATTTTGTTGGTCTATTGAATTGGATCGTGATTACGGTTTCAATATAATAAATTATAACCATGGAATATTAGTGTTTCAGCCTTTTACATTATATTCTTGTTCTGTCTTGGACATTGAGCTCTACCTGGATCTATCCTCTTGGAAATATATATACATATATTGACCACTAACATTTTATATATATATATATATATATATATATATATATATATATATGTATATATATATTGTGTGTGTGTGTGTGTAAACTTTCAGATATAATTAAAAATATATATCTGTAAAAGGACAATTTGAATGAAGTCAAAAGAAAAACTTGTTTTAGACGACGTGTCTCGTCCTCTGATATACTTTTTCAAGGCAAATGTAAGCATTTTTTTTTGCAACAAGTATTTATAAACAAAAGTAAAAATGTTAGTCTTTCAAAAACTTTTAAATTTAAGAAGTGCTCATGAATATTCATCAGGTTAACTGAAAGGTCTATGCATATATGGATATCTAACACTCCTAAGTTTATTGAGCGAAAGTAAATATAAAGAACCTGACTGGAATTCGAACTTGGCTGACAGATTTCTTGCAGTAAGGCTCTAACCATAGCACCATGTGTATATGTATATATATATATATATATATATAAGTTATGAAGAACTTGGTAATCCGTATGGGTAATCCCAAGGAGGATGAAATACTGAGAGCTCAATGTAAATCCAGAGCTAATATTTAAAAGAAAAACAGACCACTTTAGGGTACCATTATAATAATTTATTTCACAGAGCCCCTTTTAAAGGACGGATCATCAGATAGCACTTCAAAAAAATGAAATGAAACGAAAACCCGTTTCATTTCATTTTTGAAGTGCTGAAAACCCGTTTCATTTAATTTTTGGAAGTGCTATCTGATGATTCGGCGTCCTTTAAAAGGGCTCTGGTGAAATAAATTATTATAATGGTACCTTAAAGTGGTCTTTTTTTCTTTTAAATATATATATATATATATATATATATATATATATATATATATACCGATGCTTGTTCCATCCCAGTAAGTATTGTTTTGAATGGACAAGGCAAATTTATATCGTGTGTGTCGATTACGTGTTCGCGTGTGCGAGCCAGTTACATCCTGGACACAAGCGTGTCACGTGTTGCACGAGTGAGTCAGTACGCATGCGCACGATATGCATGGAGTACATCATCCCATCAACCTCGACGCTTCAAGGGGGATCGATCTTGCTTGTACGACCCATTCTCAAACCGACAGTGTTTCTCTCGACATTTACAGAGGAAGGAAAATCTTAGCAGAAAAGAAATGCCTTTAGGCAAAGCGGATGGTTAAAATGAATGAGGACGAGAAAGAAGAAAGAATGAAAAACGAAGAACGATAGAGAAGGGAAGAATGAAAAAATAAGAGTGACGGAAGATCGAAAACGAACAACGAGAGAGAAGCAAAGAACGAAACGAAAAGTATTATTTTTTTTTTCTTTTTACGGAGGGGGATTTGGCAATTGTGAACCCAAACTGATTTTAAATTCTCATTTGACCTTCGCACAGCCAGGTTGCCAATCCAAGCTAAAGTGGTCAGTCTGTCCTGTTATCAATCTCTAACTGGATAGAGGAGGCAAAAAGATGAAGATATACCTTTCTAAGTTTGAAATTTGAACTCAACTCAAGCACATATATGTGTGTGTGTGAATAATACAGAAAATTATATATATATATATATATGTTTGCGTGAATAATATAGCAAATTTTTAAATTTTATATATATATATATATACATGTGTAAAATTTAACATATATATATATATCACACACACACACACACATATGTGTGTGTGTGTGAATAATATATCAAATTTTTAACATATATATATATATATATATATATATATATGTGTGTGTGTGTGTGTCTGTTTTTTTTTGTGTGTGTGTGTATGGGGGCGTTCAAGAGTTTTTGTTTGTTTTTTCTGTTTCTAACAATACAATCGGCCGTTGGACAATATTTACCAAACGACTACGACTGAATAATGAGAAAATCCGTTGTTATGGTAACATAGGTCATGGTCCGCGCCATTTGAAACAAACAAATTTCGTGTTATGACAACTACAGGATTTAAAAAAATATAAAACCCAACAAATTATAAAATTCCGTTGCTATAGTAATATGCAGCATTTTCAGCGCCATTAATAATCTCTTATTGATAACCATTTTTATAATACACACACACTTCATATATATATATATATATATATATATATATATATATATATAAGGAAAGGATAAGCAGCTCTAAAAAGAGTATGCATAAAAATGCACACTGGCAAAAATAGTGCTCAATGCCATATGAAATGGCAGAGTTTTAATGTAAGTCAAAATCCAGGTCGTGACTGACCAGCTACGACCGCAAGCTTCATGCGCTTTGACACCATCATATATATATATATATATATATATATTGAACAATAAAAAAAATATTAAAAAATTAAAATCTTCAGTCACACTGGGTTGTAAATTAATATTCTTTCGTTTTTTATTATTATTTTATTTAGATTCCTCGACTAGTTTCGGCCAAAATGGCCATCATCGGGAGGAGAAATATTTCTGCTTGCTGGTAGCAGTAAACTACAGAAATCTATATAATTTTCAGACATTTTTATGCTTATACATTCTTTTTTTATCGAGACAAATATTTAAGTAAATGCTCTGTTTATAATAAACAGTATTAAGAACATTTACCGACCTGAAGTCCGAGAAATTGTCATAGAAAATATGCATCCTCCGACAGGAATCGAACCTGTATCCTATACGGAACCGTCATATAGCCTGACGTGCTTTTACCGATTTCGCCACAGAGGGGCGTTTCGGTTAGCAAGGTCGATTTTACTTTTCTTCCTTTCTATTTATTCACCTTTTCTCTTGCATTCTTTTTTTTTTCTTCTTTTTCCTTACATTTCGTTTCTCTTTCTTCTCTACCTTTTATTCTTTTCTCTTAACTTGCTTATGGATTTAAGTTCAACTTTTATCTTCTATTTTCTTTTATCCTCTCGATATTCTTGTTTCTCTTTTTCTTCTCTCATTCTTTTTTCTTCTTCTCTCTATATCCTTCTTTTGCCTTTATTATTCTTTTCTTTCTTCTGATTTCTCTTTTTCTACCCACCTCTCTCTATATTCTTTTTCTCTCGCTTTCTTCGCCTCTTTTTCGTCTATCTCTTTTATTTACTATTTCTTTGTTTCCCTTTTTTCGCTTCTACTTATTTTGTATGTATCTCTTCTTTTTCTTCTCCTTGCTTTTTTCTTCTTGACAATCTTTTCTTACATACTTTTACTCTTCTTTTTTTTAATTTTCTTCTTTTTTTCTTCTATCCCTTTATTATTTTTTTCTTTTTTCTTTTTCTTTTATCCTTTTTTTGTTCTTTTCTCTTAAGTTTCTTCTTCACTCTAACTAATTTTTTTTTTCTTTAGTAACTGGGAAACTCTTGGTGCTAGTCTTTAGTACAACTATTATTATTAGCAGTATTATTATTATTATTATTATTTTTATTATTATCATTAACAGCAGCAGCAGTAGCAACGCCGACACCGCAACGACTCTTACTATTATTTATGCCCGCCAGTGTAATTTGTCGGCGGACTTAACCGGTTCTATTTCTTAGCGCGGAAGATTATTTATCTCATTGCTTAGGGGATAAGCTGAGGCTGGCAATGGTAGCGGATGGAGGAGGTGAACAGGTCTGTTAACGGAGGGATATGGAATTGGGCAAAGGATTAAGCGTTTTATGGTGTTTCGCTTTTGGATTTAGAGCGGCCATTTGCCAAAATTAGGACGATACGACGAGAAAGTCCCGGGCAGGACGAGGGGTAGAAACCAGGATGATGAGAACGAAGGGGTGGGGGAAATAAACTTAGATAAAACCGGAAGCAACAAACAAACAGGAAATACATTTCATTTCGAACAAACCTTCTGTCACTCTGTACCCACATACATACCTATCCATTATATATATATATATATATATATATATATATATATATATATATATATATATGGGGGGATATATATGTGCAAGAGAAGGGAGGCTGTTATAAATGAATTTGCCAATGGCATAGCATTTAGGAACTGAAGAGTCTGTAAGGAGAGTCGGGTAGGACTGCTGGTAGTGGAATGGTAACTTGCAGAGAAAGGAGGGGACACTGGGTGCTGGGAGTCACAGTCTTAGTTATGGTAACAAGTTTAAGAGGAAACATAACCACTGACAAAAAAATATTTAAGGTATGCCAGAAAATTTCGATGTAAAAGAAAATATACCAAACAGTGCGAAAGATACATAAAACGATAGGAGGAAAGAGGGAGTTGTTTTTTTTTTGTTTTTGTTTTATTGTTTGTTTGTTTTTTTGTTGTTTTTTATTTTGTTTGTTTGTTTTCATTAGGAAGACCTATAACACACACACACACACATTATATAAGATTTAATAATCTAAAAAGATTTCTCGAGCATTCACGCCAGCAGACGAAAAATAAATACCTTGTTTAATAAATAAATGGGGCGTCTACTTAAATACGAGTATTCAATAAAAATAACGTTTAAGTAATATAAATCTGACGGATTAAGAAGTGAAAAAATTAATTTCTTTAGAAATTAATTTATTTACGTTAGAATACGAAACTATGATTTCAAGAATCGGAGAGAAAGCTCTTTTTAAAGGCACTATTCAGACTTGGCTTGGCCATCGACGCTCTCCGTAGCCGAGAGGTCAAAGCAAGTCAGATATAATAGCGGCTCCCCCGTCTAATGACGGTGTTTATAGTTAATAAAAATATAGTTTTAAGGTATGCTATATTTATAAGTGCTTGATATCAAGGAAGGATATAAATATAAAAACTATAAAAGACTAATATAATATATATATATATATATATATATATATATATATATATATATATATATATATATATATATATATATATGGATGACCTCTGGAAAAACATGAAACTGTGAATCATGAAAAATATCATAGTAAGTGCATAAAGAGTTAGTGTCAGGTTTTATGCTTTGTATTGTGTATTTTTGATATTGATATTTGAGCTCTATATATTTTTTATATATTTGACTCACATTTATATATATATATATATATATATATATATATATATGAAGTTAAAGGAGAAAAGGAAATTGGTGGAGAGACGAAGAAAGAGAGACAACATGAAAGAAGGTGAAGGGAAGAGTAAAGATGAAGAGGGGAACTAAACAGAGGGTGAAAGGAAGAGGAGAGAACAGAGAGTGAAAGGAAGAGGAGAGAGATAAACAGAGAGTGAAAGGAAGAGGAGAGAGATAAACAGAGAGTGAAAGGAAGAGGAGAGAGCTAAACAGAGAGTGAAAGGAAGAGGAGAGAGCTAAACAGATGGTGAAAGGAAGAGGAAAGAACAGGGGGTGAGAGAAAGAGGAGAGAGCTAAACAGAGGATGAAAGGAAGAGGAGAGAGCTAAACAGAGGGTGAAAGGAAGAGGAGAGAGCTAAACAGACGATGAAAGAAAGAGGAGAGAGCTGAACAGCGGGTGAGAGGAAGAGTAGAGAACTAAACAGAGAGTGAAAGGAAGAGGTGGTAATGAATTTAGAAACAAAGTAATGGAGACACAAGATGAAACAATAAAAAAGAAGAAAATATTTGAACTAAATAATAAAATAATATGGCAAGCATCGAATCTGAAGAACAAAATACGTTCAAGTTAGGGATGGAGAAAAATCTCTTTTATTGGATGCACATCCTTAAAGGGTTTAAACTCAATAAAAACAATCCTATTCAACTGCGTCGGAAAATTGTTCCTTCTTTAGCCCTTCCGAAATGTCCCCTACCGAAGGATTAAGGACTAAAGAGCCATTTTGTGACCTAAGTGCTCGGATGGGATCATATAGTTAGTTAATTTGAATGTTCTAGGTCAGTTTGGTCATTCAGGAATCTAGCGAGGGATTTATATTTTTAGAAATTTTTTTTCTGTATTTTTCTTTTTTTTATGATGATTTTTATCCCAAGTCCAATCTGGACGAAAAACATTGAAAAACAACTGAAGAGCTTGCTTTAAAAGATTTTCCTTTTATTTCTAATAGTTTTCCTTTATCTGTCTTCTTTTTCTTTTCTTCTTAATTTATTTGAAAGATAAAGTTTTGCCTCATTCTTTTTCTTCTCTGGCCCTTTCCCCTTTGATTTCTCTCTTTTCTTTTCTTAATCATTTATTTCTTCGTTTATTTTCTTCTTTTCTTTCTCTATTTTTCATCATGGTCTCCGTTTTCTTTAAATTACCTTTCTTCCTTCTTTCTTTCTTTCTTTCTTCCCTCTTTACTTCATATTCATCTTACTCTCCCTAATTGCTTTCCTTTCTCACCCCTCCTTTCTTTCAACCTTTATCCTTCATCTTTTTCTGCCGTTCGTTCCATCTCTTACCATTTTTCCCTGCTTGCAATTCCTCTCATTCCTTTCTTTAGAACTACCACGAGAACATCAGCAAAACAAATTAGATGGCTTGATCTTGCCTAATTTACACTCCAATGTCTTATTAACCCACGCCGAAAAAAAAAAAAATCTTCATCCCTCCTTGTGAACAATTTCCCAAAATACTTTTCTAAACTTCCTCGTCAAAAAGAAACAACAACAAAAAAAGAAAATAGGAAGCAAATCTTAAACTAGAAACGGATTTTCTATGCTCTTAAAAACAATTGTTTATCGGAAGATATCCCTAAGTGGCTTTCTTAGTGCGTTGTTTCGGTTTTCGATTACGAAAAGAAATATCCCTTCCCTCGTCAAGTCATCGACACAGCAGCATACTTATTGTAAACCTAGACCATAAAAAGGGCTCAAACAAAATTTCTTCTCCGGCAAAATAGAAATCAGCAAGAATTTAGCCTTTATTTCTGCGAATAAACCCAGAAAGCATCACGGATGACACAAGCCTAATGAAAGTTTCATGTCGTTACCATTCGTGGTGCCAAACGCTTTCAGCATCATTTAAACCGTCATCTCTATTCAACCACTCTCTCAGGTCGATGGCTAAAAATGGTTTTGAGCAAACGAAGCCTGGATGGAACCACCCTTTTTCGAACCTCCTAAACTGATGCTTTTCTTTCTTTTTACGTGCCGTGTTCTTTCAGGACGTAGACGATCGTGGCTCTCCACTCCCCTCTGCTACTCCCCCAGGCCCCGTTCTGTAACCAACTTGCTTAAGTCCGCTAGATATGTCATACATTGCTATCCCTTGTCTCTTTTCCCCTCTATTCGACCTCTGAGTATTAGATTCTCCAAGCCGTCCTTTCTCATTAAGGGTCCCAGAAATTTCAGCTACCTCTTCCTGCTGTTAAGTATAAGCTTCCTCCTTGTTTGCATCCTCTTCAAAACCTCATCGTTGCTCACACGCTTGGTACATGTTATCCTTAGCATCCTTCTGTAGAACCATACCTCCGTTGCCTCGAGTGTCTTCATCTTTGAGGAGACCGTCCAACAGAATCAAAAACAAAGAACTGTACCAAATAACAGACTCTCCAAGTCCGAATAATATAAATAATGCAAGTAATAGAAGCATCTAGTTCGGAACTTGCTTGGTATTGTCCACAAGGACATATGGCCCAGTGGATGAAGACGTTGGTTAGATCCAGTGACTAGACCCAAAGGAACCAAAACTTGAAGATTTGAGTTAAAAGGGAAATAGCTGAGACATCCGGAAGAGGTATGGCTCGTGGAATTAGAACAATCTATTCCAGAGGACAAAATCAAGGGTCCGGTTCGAAATTCCAATCACCTGAAGAAGGCCGAAGCGTACAACAGCCGAAACATTGTGAATATGGCAATGAAGATATAAAATAAATGTTGAACAAAGGGCCAATGTCTTTGACCATACAAACCAGAAGTAGATAAAGCGTTTGTTTTTTTTATACTAATATTCACCCAGTAGAAGGCTCAAATGTCACGCAAGAGAGAGGATTACTGAATGTATTTTCTTTATGAGCACAAGAGGAAGTAAAATGTATAGCATACAAGGACATATAGGCAAGTTAACGGTGAACTCTAGACTTGAAGAGGGCAAGATTGGAGAAGTCGGGAAAACAACCCCGCAGGAGCAGGTTACACATAGTAACGGTTCTTATGAAGAAGCTCTCTGGGTGGAACATCTTTTTTTCTAACGGAGTACAAAGCGAATGGGGATGATTTATGATATGGTGAGTCTTAGATGTGAAGGTCTGAACTGGTGGAACTAAAGAATATAGCTCGTCAGAATACTTTCTTTGTAAATAGCGATAGATTAGCGACGATGCGTCGGTGGGGAAGGAGGGATAATAATTAATCAATGAAAAAGGCCGCGTAGACGCTTTTAGACCGAATAGTGAGGACGAGGCAGTCTCAGATCAGTTTTGGTCTAATCTGGTTCTCATAGAAATAGGCCTAAGCAGTAAGAGGCAAGTACTTTCTGGAACGGTAAAGAAACTGATCACTATTAAATCATATTTAGAGATACTGTTAAATAAAATACATCTAAAAAAATGTAAAATGAATGTTATTTTTTAAATTTATTTTGTTTCAACTTCTTATATGATTAAAGGCAAATGAAGACAGGAACATAATTCAATAGCAAATTATATATATATATATATATATATATATATTACAATTGATTTGTCGGTTTATTTTCTTTACCCGTTGGACACTAAGTGTGACGGTATCAACTTGTTAATGCTCGTAAGCATATGGCGCCAAGATAAATCGCGTGCACACGCATGCGCACACGTAGACACTGAGTAAGTAGCACGTGCGGTTTGGTTTGGTTTGGTTCGGCTCGCCTCGACACAGGCACGCATGCGCGCACAGATTTCCGGCTCACATGCAAGATACGGGATTATCTCCCTTGTCCATGTTTATTTTTCTTAGGCTAGGACCAAATCCCCCTCCACGCCAGCCCTCTTCAACTTACTTCGGTCTGTGTCTCCGAAAAAACCGATTATAGAGAAAACGATAGTCTTGAGGTTTTTTGTTTTCTGTTATTTTTTTATTTATTTTTTTTTTTTTTTTTGTTTTGTTTTGTTTTTTACTCCTGTGGAGAGGTTATTTTATTAATTTATTTGGTTGGTTGTTTTTTTGTTTTTTTTTTAAGGGGAGGGGGTCTTTTTTATGACTATTTATTTATTTATTATTTGTTCATG